GGATTGGAACTCGGCGAGTTGGCCTAAGGATGACTACAACGTTGCCGAACTAAAGTTGTGGTGAGTTGGCTATTCGGCTTGTTTGAATCACAACACAATTCTTTAATTCCTGCTTTGCACATGTATGTATATTCCAAGAATCAACTTTTGTGAGGCAATAATTTAATAAGTAAAGTCTCAAGGTGAGTTTGGCCGGGTAACCCTTTTTGTAAGGCCAAAAAGATGTTCTCACAAAGAAAAGTGTGAAACCCATTTTTAGAGAGAGAAAATCTAAACTCAATTGTAGATCCACTACCTTCGTCTCATTCTTTTAACTTTTCTAAACAAAATTAATATTTATTTGACAAAATCTGTGAGCATAAATATATAGACATATACATATATATATATATATACTGATATTTAGAAACATAATAAAAAAGGGAGAAGACAAAGACCTAGCTGTAGATAGTACACTGGTCTGAGCTCCTTAAAGGTGGTGTTCGCTCTGCTCTTCATTGAATTCTCAGACGATTCCCACAAACGGCGCCAATTGTGAGACCAGGAAAATCCTCTCACATAGATTGTAGAGATCCAACGAAGAAATGAGCTTTGCCTGTGTAGATTTGCAAAGATAAGCATAATCGGCGCCATCCAACCGGGGTTGTCGTCTGGAGACACTCCGATGATAAAGTTAGCCAAAATAGATCAAAGAGAGAAGATGAAGATTTAGAAAGTGTGTGTGCTCTGTGGCAGGAAAAATGAGGCATATCTTTGTTCCATAGGATGCCCTCCTTTTATAGAGGAGGTGCGATATTTACTTGATGGGCTTCCTTCTTTGGGATGGGCCCAATAAGCTGGTATATATATATATATATATATTTTGGCTTCCAGAGAATAAATCATTAGATATATTATAGAATTATACGATATGATATGTATCATTTTTTGATTTGTTATACACCCAATAATGTCTACTCCAATTCTATTATCATATCATTTTAGGTGAATTTATGAGTCTTTAACATTTCTTCCGAATCTATAAAAAAAAATTTTATGGTCTGTAGCTTTTTTCAATAGATAAATATGAAACAAATACTAAGATAATTCTTCCATCTAAAAAAATATATTAAGATAAGTCACTGAATTAATAAAGAAGCAGAAGAACATACATATATATACAAATGCCAAATTTTATTCATACATAAATCATACTCGCATAACAAATGATCAATTTTATTAATAAGTAAACCATTAAATAAATTAACAATTTGTAATGATATAAAAAATATTTTTCAGTTAACCATTTTGTTAATAAATAAATCATTAAGTCAATTACCAATTTTTAATGATATGAGAATTATTTTTTAATAAACAATTTTGATAATTATTATTGCAGAGGAGAATATATATATATATATATATATATTTTGCTTCAGTATCGTGTTAAATTAAAATTTATAAAAAAATGGTAATTGTAATTTATAGTATTATAAAACCGATTCATATTTTAAATAAACTTTATAGGTGTATTTGTAATTTGTTAAAAAATAATATATTCACGTTTCATAATTGATCAAGAATGTTTACGTAATTACGAAAAAACATATTTCATGATTGACTAAGAATGTTCGCGTAATTACGAAAAACATATTACATAATTAATCAAGAATATTTGCATAATTATGAACCATTAGTAAATTATTTAAAATAAAAGGGCAAAATCGGAAAAGAAAGACGAACATCAAGCAGTTAAGTGATTCTTATATATATATATATATATATCAAATTTTAGATATTTATATATATATATATATATTGACACTTGACCTCGTTTGGGAACAGGCTTTCTTAGTAACTTTTTTGACTTTTTGGCTAAAATATAATGTTAAAAAAACTAGTAAGTTTGGGATGACCTTTGATTTTTTACGAAAAAATGTGCAAAAAATAAAGAAAAAATAGAATCTTCGACTTTTTGGTATAGGTGGTTGCCTTTTTGATTTTTTTAATAATTTTTTAATTTTTTAACTAAAAAAGTCACTTACTAAACAAGGCCTTAGCATGGTGTATTTTTGTAGTTTGTTTTTTTTGTTTTTTGTTTTTCAGGCACATAGCATTGCGGATAAGAAATTAGAGGTGGGTGAAATCATTAGTAGCTTACTGACTAAGAGGGTTTCGGACATTAAAAAAAGACTAGCACAGTTCGTGGACTAGCATTGGAGTCCTTTTAAAGTTAATTGATTAATCATTAACTATTCTTAATCAATGTTAAACAAGATTTTTATGACAAAAAATGGTCAACAAGAATAATGATATCCACTACCAAACAAAATTATGATGGAATATGACTGTGCTTACTACTATTCTTTAATCAACCATAAAGAAATAAAAAAAGAAAAAGAAAATAAAACCTCTGTCATGAAAAGAGGCCGCCTCCTAGTTTGAAAATAATTATGAGTAATGTTATCATGATTATTTATTTTTACCTTCTAACTAGTTATCCCTAGTACAATTAAAAGTTGCACTATTAATCAATGAGAACCAATTCTTATCAGGATATTTATGATAAAAAATGGTTTACATACCCTGAAAAAGAGACAAAAAAACATTACTCATAATTTAAAATCTAAGGTTAAGTTTCATTTCAGGATTTTTTGATTCTTCTTTTTTGAAAAAAGTCAATTGAAAATGAAATAAATTGAATTTTTTTTTTTCAAATTTTAAGGTAGAGTCAAGGAAGAATAAAGTGATTTTTACTTTTGTCAAAGTAAAAGCAACAACACTAATTGATGATGTATAGGAGTTGTAGATGGGTGAAGTCATTATTAGCTTACTTCACTTACAGGGTTTTGGACACTAAAAAAAAAACTAGCACAGTTCTTGGACTAGTATTGAGTCCTTTTAAAGTTAATTGATTAATCATTAACCATTCTTAATCAATGTTAAACAAGATTTTTATGATAAAAAATGATTGACATGAATAATGATATCCACTACCAAACTAAATTATGGTAGAATATGACTGTCATTACTACCATTCTTTAATCAACCCACAAAGAAAGAAAGCAAAACTTCTGCCACCACTGCAGGAATTTTCAGAATTAGCAACGTTTAAAAAACGACACTATAAGTCTTCGAAACGCCGTTAAAGAATAAAGACGGCCTTTATAACTTTCGTCGCAGATACGGCCGCCGTCTTAGGTATATAACGTTTTATACGTCGCTAATGACTTTAACCGGCGTTTTTAAAATGTCATAAATTCTCATACATTCCGTTATGTGAAACTGTCACAGTTAAACGCTGACATCATATGACGACATTCACTGACGTTTTTTGAAAAAACGCCATCTTTTCTCCTTTTTAAAAAAATATATATATATAGCACTGCAATTTATATAAAAAGAAAATGTATAATTTCAATTGCACTAAATCTGCAAAATAAAACTCCTCAAAAAAAAAAAAAAAAAACAAAAAACAAAATAATGATTCAATTTTCAAATTGCACTATTAGCTAAATAAAATCAAATCTGAAAGTCAAGGATTCTTTATACAAGCACATAAACTAAAAATAAACCAAACAATTTTAATTCCTCTTCCATAAGGCTACAATTTCCATAAGGCTCATTCATGGGCCAATGCTTATTTCAAGGAACAACTTGGCCAAAGCTTCTACAAAAAAACACTGGAATCAATAATATTAAAAAAAATAAAGAAACTACCCCCAAAAAAAAAATAAAAAAATAAAAAATAAAAAGTTAGCAAATTATAATCATAAATAATAAATGACTTGTGACCAAAATTCAAAAGTCAACATTAAAATTCGCTGTACATAAAATAAAGTGATCCTAAAATCTTTTTCCTTTTCTTTTAATTTTCTAACATGTATGCATCTGCAACATGCCATATATGCAAATGTAAAAGATATACAATATTGCACCAACCTTAATACTATTGTTAATTGACAGAGGCAGACCGTAATCACAAACCTGATGCATAAAATTTGAAGTAATAGATCAGAACAATTAAAATCCTAATTCACAATGTTCATGAACCACCAAGAAATAATAAAATTGCAACATGTACTAATGAAACATAACTGAAACAAGATGAATAGGCAACAAGATCTTGTTTATTGACCCAAAAAATATACACAATTATTGTGAACTAGATGAATTTTGAACCCAGCATGACTTGTGCTCAGGCCAACGTATCCAACCGAAGTCACAGAATAATATAAAAATAAATAATAAAAAAAAACCTCCCAAATGATATATTGCAATGCAAGTTGCAACACAGATTAACAAAATAAGAAAGTAATATTATTTACACCTTTATGTGAAGGAAATAGGGCTATAGTAATTAGTAATGTAGTAGAACCTACTAATTGATGACTCAACTAGGCCCTGACCCAACTGCTTAAGGCCAGTGAGATAAAATCTCCTTTCTCTATTAGTTGCTTTGGATCCCTGTTTTTGGTATAAGTCCTTTGGCAAAAGTCGAAGGTTGAACTTGACCTAAATTTCTTTGTCTATGTCAAAGTAAAAATTCATGTAACACTTGAAATTTCAGAATGAGACTGATTGAATTTCCTTCAATCAAAGTAAAAATTTAGATACCACTTTAAATTTCTTTGTCTATGACTTGATACAAGTCCATCCTCTGCTGCATCAATTAGGAATTGACCATCATTACTCAAAATAAACCAAGAGGTCTTTTGCCAAAACACATCAGGAAGTGGAACCAAAACCATAAGGACAATAATATGACCAATGTTAGTCAGGCTAAATCACTGTTATATGTACTTCAAATTAGACGAGTCGCACTAATGGACAGTAAACACATAAGCTTTACAGGGAAGTGTAAATCATGATATATGATTTCGTCTAGGCAAGATAAGTATGTATACTTTCTTTAGATCATTGATTCCTTTCTTGTTCAACTTTAGTCAAGAATTGAATTATGTCTCATCTTAAAAATTTCACATGGATGTAAACAAGCCATAAAACATAGATTGCAGAACAGAAATGATATAGCAATATACATGTACCAGTTTCTGCAATTAGAACACGTGCCTCTTTTGTACGAAACCCACAAACTGCTGGAGTAGGATGAAAGGAAGACAATACCTCAAACTGGTAACAAAGCAAACCCATGTAAGAGAAACTAAGCAACTAGACATTCATTATCAACATATGAAACATTCAAAATCTAAAGTCAAATAATTATATACACACCCACATATAAAACAACATGAATGTTCACAATATATTGGTTCAGGAAGACAATTTTAGATGGTTACGTAACAGGTTTCCGATACAGAAGAATGTAGAGAGTGAGAGAGGGACATCAATAACATAAGATTCCAAACAGGCACATCAATAACATTATTCCAAATGTTCAATACCAAAAAAAAACAAAAAGCAGCAACTCCAAATTCAACAGCAAGGACAAGCAGTAATCCCATAAGCAAAACATAAGCAATAATCCCATGTAAAAGTATCTCTAACAGCAACAACTACCAATTAAAATAGCAACATTAAATACACAACCTCTTTAGACAGAAACATAAGAATGGGGGGAGGTTTTTTTTTATTTTTTATTTTTGAATTGATTAAAACTAAGCATATTTGGAAAAACTGAGAACAAAAAATTGCTAGTACCTTTCCACGATACCAAGGAAGCTTTTTTTCTTAGCCATGGTGATGCAAGTAACGGTGTCCAACCACATAACAAAAATCTGTGATAAATGTGCGACAAGATTGAATCAAATGGAATTGAAGTATTTGGAGCATTTGAAATTCGTTCTTTTTATTAGATGGAATTCTAGGAACACTTTGAGAATGGAATGTGTTTGACTTACCATGTAGGGAACACCATAGAGTTTAAGCATTTGGACAGGCCCAAACACCGTGGATAGTTAGAAAAGCAGGGAAACCATTAAAGTCTAGCATACAATTGTAGTGATCACATGTTTCCAATTCACTGTAGGGATTGAAATGAGAAACAAAATAAAAATTAAGATGCAATGCTTCTACATGTTGCATTAGTAAGGAACAAAGGCTTAATAACAAATAAAAATTTCCATTAAATAAACACCCACTTGTACCAGATGCCAAAATTACTAACTGATGCATGACTACCCACATTTTACAAACCATATTTCAAACATTAATTGAAAGCATGACCACTACAACACACAATTTGGATCAAAAGATTGTAAAATCATTTATATATAATGGGAGAACCCCATTTTGGTGTTTCCAACTTTCTAAAGCTGTGTTAACACTTTTGTTTCCTAAAGAATCAATGATTTATATATTAAGACACTTGTTCATGCAATTCAAATTCAAATATTCACAATTTCATTAGGAGGGTAGAGAGACATGATCTTCTTTTACTGATGCGTAGAGAGATAATATTTGAAAATTAGTTTTTGAAAATCAGTTAATTAAGGGTTTATGACAGTGGCAATAATATTTATGCATAACTAAAATTCAAATTTATGTTCTTGTATGTCTTTGTTTTAAGCCAATCATAATATACAAAAATAAAAACCAAAAACCAAAGGAGACTCAGAGAGCTAGCTAGAAATAGTTGGCCAAAACAGTAACAAAATTACTTAGTCATGCAAAAAAACTTGAATAAACTGTAAGTTAGAAGAAAAAACAAATTTTTAGCCAAAATAGTGAGATCTAGCTTGTACTAGAGTGTTTAGTTCCAAATCTACCACAAAATCAAGGCAAATCTCAAACTTTCAGATCCAAGGCCATAAGCACTGTAACAAAAAAATTCACTAAAAGCATCAACAAAACTCTAACATCTTCTTACCAATAAGTCCATATCAATGAAGAACATAAAACGAATCACTCATACATGACAAGAGAAGAGTTAGAACATAGCAGATCTGATAAAACAGAGCGAAGAAGAAGAAGAAGAAGCGCAAAAAAAAAAAAGCTTATTCTCACCATGCAGAGAGTATAAAAATAGAGGCAAAAAGGACTCTCCCGAGGATCTTGATCCTTCTTCACTTCTCGGTCTCGTAACCTCGCCAATTTGTGCAACTCAACCGAACCATCTTCCTCTGCAAAATCATCAAAATCAAAATTAGAATCAAGAAAAACAAAAAACCGTCAAGAAATTTCAACCAAATCGATGTAAGAATCGATGGATTTAGAGTTAGATCCGAACAAGTAATTGGAATCAACCCAGGTGAATCTCTCAAGGAGCATGAGGAGACAGAGAAAACCCTAGATCTAGGAAGGAGAGAGAAAACGATAGAGACAGAAATGGGACGGAAAGAGAAATAGAGGATAATGCTGTGGAACACGTGTTCATAAAATGATAACGCGCGTCTTTTAATCTTACTTTACCTCTTCCACAACGTTTTTTCAGAAAAACGTTGTCAAAAAAACGTGGTTATAGCCAATTTTTGTTGTAGTGCACGAAGAAAAGTCATCTCCTAATTTGAAAATAATTATGAGTAATATTACCATGATTATTTATTTTGTATTAAAGATATACACTGGTAGTGGGACTTACGGTATTAATATTATATTTAATTTAATTAAATAGTTTTAACAAAATTATATTAATGTCTCTTATAATATTGATAACTTTAACGGTGTTAACCAAAGTGATGAAATTATTATATTATTCGTAAATATTTTGTAATTAAATATATACGGTACATTTTAGTTTAAAAAGATAAAAACATTATGAAATTTATATTTCAAAAAAATATGGTGTATTTATACCAAAATTGTTATCTAATTATAATATAATAATTAGTCCAAAGAGATCGGTAAAATTTATCCTAAGACTATGTTTGGATAAAAAAATTTAAGTAAGAATATATGAAATGATTCTTCTATACTTTCTTTCCATAAATTACTCCTTAAATCCTTAATCCAAATATAATAATCTAAAGAGAAAAGCATAGAAAGTAAAGAAAAAAGAAAAGAGGAAGAAGTTGCTTCGCCTCTGCTTTTATACGGCCCCATATGTTCCAAGTTGTGTAGTTGTTTGCTCAGAGAGAGAGAGAGAGAGAGCGGTCATTTCAATGATGAACTATGTGAGGGTGATGCTGAGAGAAAAAGAGAAAAGAGATGGGAGCAGGGATTCTGATGAACTATGACTGTCATTACTACCATTCTTTAATCAACCCACAAAGAAAGAAAGCAAAACTTCTGCCACAAAGAAAAGTCATCTCCTAATTTGAAAATAATTATGAGTAATACTGTTAGCACCATAAATCTGCAATTATTATTATTATTTATTATTTATATAATTGCAGGACATGTGGCATCCTCTTATTCATTTGGAAGTTAAAAGAAGTTATAGAGATAATAGAGAATATGAAGGACAAAGTGGATGAGTGGGAGGACAAAGTGGATGAGTGGAAGGACACATGGCAAGACAAGAATGAAGATAGA